GGAGTGGCTGGTGGGTTTGAACCGCCAGCCTTCTGGTTAGCAGTCAAGTGCCTTAGCCACTATGCTACCAGAGCTCCTATTTAGTATTTTTAAAAAGTCTTTTTTCTCTGTGTCTACCTCAGCACCTAAAACAACCTCTGGCTCACAGCAAGTGCTCACTGCATACATGTCCATTAGTCTTTACAATCATAAAGTCTAGTCTCATCCAGTCTTCTTCAATTTATCATGAAGTTCTCCTAATTCACTCTCCACAAGTTTCTTCTTTTCCTAGCACCATCATTCATGTAACAGCACAAAATATTACATATTTTGTACTACATTCACTCATGGTCACAGACAAGGAACTTGTACCACTAACATACAAAGTTTTACACATTTACACTCACAGAAAAACACATAGTGACAGCATCAAAGGGTTACATACACAGAAATTCACTTTCAAGTGACAGAATCTTCTTGTGGGGAGAAAGATAACAAATAAGTAAGAAATTAAAATATAAACACTATGTGTTTATATGTTATAGGATAGTAAAATCTATGAAGAAATCAGATTAAGGAGGCATGGAGTGCCAGGAGAGAGGTGTGATTAAGGAAATCCTCTTTGAAGATGTGGCATTTGTATTTGAATGCACGGCTGAAAGGAATCTTTCAGATAACTGGCAGAAGAGCCATCTTAGAAAGGCTAAAATCATAAATACATGAACCACAAGCAAAGGGTGACGCTCTCTACACTAACTCCGCCCCTCATATCTCCAAGGTAACCATCCCCTGTGCAAGAAAGTCCTAATAGGGCAGGACTGGGCAGAAGCATAATGCGCCTGCGCACTCTACCCCTCAACTCCTGGTCCTTAAGGTAATTCTAGGAACTTGACCGTTAACCATTTTGTGTAGAAGTGTGCTCTAGCGCAGGCCCACATTCAAAAAGGCCTCCTGCGCCTAACTCCCCAATCTCTATAGCCCTCAGTCTATTCCCATTTCTAGTGACCTACATGATGAAATAGAACTGCTCCACAGGGTTTCCAAGGCTGTAATCTTTATGAAAGCAGATTTCCAAATATTTCTCCCTCAGAGCGGCTGGTGGGGTCAAACTGCCCACTGAGTTTTCATTTAGCAGTCAAGAACTTAACCAATGCGCCATCAGGGGTTCTTGCAGCTAACCCAGGGCACTAAATTATGGTCCAGGTTGCTAAGGGAGGCAGGCCTAGCGTTTGTGCTTGCGCATTTCAGTCTCAGACCGTTTTGAGTGACGTTAGGCCCAATCCCTGTGGCCCACTCAGGCTCGGAGCTCAGAAGAATCTGGGCTTCACTCTGGAAGGCTAGGGAGAGGGCGTCGCGGTAGGACTGGGTGCAAGGGGGCGGTTTTTACGAACCTCGGGCAGAGCTGCGTCAGTGTAGCGGGACGAGGCAACGCCTTGGCTTTTCCCCTACGGACTACATTTCCCGGTGGCCCCTGCTGGCATCTGGCCGGAGGACCCTTTGTGTCCTTCTGAGTCCCAGGCGCTGAGGCGCGTCGTTCCCGTGCCGCTGGGACAGGTTTTCGTCAAGGCGGAGAGTAAGGCGCCAGTGGAGATCCCCCGAGCCTTCGGGGGCGGGGACAGGATTTCCCCGCAGTTCAGTTCTGCAGGTAGGGAGTGGGTTGAAGAGGAGCCTGTGAGTCACCCAGAAGCTGGTCCCCACGGCCTGTGTGTGACTTTACGTGTGAGACTTTCACCCCATGTGTCTGTACTTGTCGCATCTGTGTGACTCTGGGTGCGAATGACTCGGTACCATGAAGTGAGACTGTATGTGTATGTGTACGGGAGGGTACTCTCTGCCACCCTGTGTGCCTGTACCCGCGGCCTGTGTGTGACTGGAATATGTGAGATGATCAATTGCAATACTAAGCTTAGTGTTTGAAGTTTGGGGATATGGGAGAGGGTGATTGTATGGGCCTGTGTTCATATTCATGGCCTCTGACTCCGGCGTGTGTAAGGCGGTGGTAATAGTAAGTGCTACAGCGCTGTAGTTTTTAAGATTTTGTGGGTATGTGGAGGGACTTATTGAGAATGTGTCACCCAGTATCTTAAAACTAGCCAAGTGATTCCAATGTGCAGACAAGTTTCAAAATCACGGATCTAGTGAAGTGGAGAAGGGCTGTAGAGTTGGGCAGAATTTTGTTAGCTCTTGGTTCTGTTATTTATTAGTTATGTGTTTTTATGTAAATGACCACATTCCTCAGATTTATGTTAAACATCTAGAACAACCGTGTTCTTAAAATAATAAACTAGGAAGTGATTAGGCATAGGTTGAATTGTATGAAATTTTCCTAGGTCTCCCTTATGCTCTCTATTTGAGGGAAGAGTGGAATGTGAAAAATGAGAAGTCAAGATCCTAGGCTTGTGATTCTGGGTGCTTCAAGGAAAGCCTGGTTTCTCATGTTCTCTTCTCTATCTCAGTCATCTAAGGACACTGCCATTTCCCAAGAGAAGGGCCAGTAAAGAATAGCTGTTGGACTTCTTAAAGCCATGTACCAGGTGAGTTAACATTTTCTCTCTTACATGTACTACCTTCCTGCTTTTCTAAACAAGTACATGCTAACTTTCCTTTTACTGAAACTTCTCTGGGTTATCAATCATATCACTTCACAGTGGCCTTTCACCTCATGAAGAATAATACTGAAGTCCTTGACTTGGTGGGCAAGGACCTCAATAATCTAGTCCCTGACTATCTCTCTGATTTATCTAATTTCTCTCTCACCCTTTTTGTAACTCATTCAGCTTCAACCACGTTAGCTTCATTGAAGTGAGTTGAGTACATTCTTAACTTATGGCCTTACACTTGCTATTACCTCTACCTGGAGAGCTCATTCCACAGACATAGACCAACTACTTCATTCTAGTCTTTGTCTAAACAGCATTCATTCATTCAACACTTTTTAATTAAGCAACTGTTAACATGGGGTGCCACAGGACTTTCTCTTTAGTTCTTGTTTTTTTTTTTTTGTTTTGTTTCAAGCTTTGTCTGCATTCGCTCCTTTAATGATGTTATCCTGTCTCATGGTTTTAAATACCAGCTGTATATGCCAATGTAGTAGTAGAGAAAGCTCAGTCTTATATAAAAGTAAAACAAAGATATTTATTAAAGCTTCAATATAGTTTAAACTTAGAACCACATGTCTCATAAAAATGAACCATGAAGTCTGAGGCACAATAGTCATACAAACATTTATATAGAGTTTAGACAGAGAAAGGGGACTGCACTATACTGGTTGTTTTTCAGGTACTCAAGGGAGTTAGAGGTGGGCTTTCTAAAAGTGGAGGCTGGTTAGTGATTATGGGGTTACATGTGGGTGGGCTTCAGTGATGGTGACTTAGAATGCAGTGGTAGGTGCAGGTAAGGAGATACATGCGGGATTGCAGGATACTGTTGGGACATGCTGGTCTGGGAACATACTGTTAATACTACTTTCTCAAGCAAATGTCTAGAGGTTCATTGCAAAGGAGATTTTTTGATAATGCTATGCATCAAAACTCTCTGGGAACAGGCTGTCACATCCTGCTTCTGCTTGACCATAGTGAAAAATACATTCTTTGAGATACACTTTTAAGGATGTCTAAAGGTTAAGCACAGGAGAGAAAAACTACTCTTTTAAAATGAGGTTTATTCTCAGGTTTGGGCCAGGGTCCCTATTTATATCAAATGCCTCATATAATTTTGGGATTCTCTCTCATTCCCTCCTTTAGATCAAGAATTCTAGGGAAATTCTTTTACCACGTTTTAAAGAGTGCCCTCTTCTGCACAGACTTGGTAGGTCTCTGGATGGCCACTTGTCTATTATAAGCCTTTAAGACCTAAGGCCCTACTATTCTTGGTAGCTGGATACTGTCTGAGGTCTTCACTGTCCCATGGCTTTGGCATTCTGCTTCACTGATGTTCCTGGTAGAGAGAGAAATTAAGCCACATTAGGAGGAACTTTTGCTTGTTCAAGGGAACTGGTCCCAGGAGTGAATTAAAACTTAACTGAAAATAGCTTTTGTCAATAATACATTATCCTTTTCATGGGTAAAAGTTTTTCTTTTTTGTTTTTTTTTTTTAGTTCAAAACATTGGAGATGACATTCCACTAACAATTATAATAAGTATCATTGATGTAGTTAACAATATAATCTAATCCCTGGTTAAAAATATCTAGAAAAGGGGAGTTTGACACAGGGGTATTTGAAGCTAAGTGGCCTTTTCACAAACTTGTCTGATATTTTGTTCTATTCTGCTGAAGTATTTTTTCAAGGGCAGCAGGAGAAAGACAATTGCACAGACTCTTTGTTGGGCTAAAATAAAATCAAGGGCAATTCCATTATCTGGAACAACTTCAGTTAAAGAACATAGGGATTTTTGTTGGGCTTCTGTGTTACCAGCAAGCTCATCAGTTATTTGGAGCACAGTAGTAGACAATAGGCATTTTAAGTTCAGGAATACCAACAAGGAGTAGAAGACCTCAGAGAAATGCCCATCTACCTCTGGGGCTGTCCATTATAGTGTCTTTTGTGTGCATGAGTATGTGTGTGTGTGTGCGCTTTGGGTGCAAATTTACAGAGGACAATTTGTTTACAGTCAACAATTCATGTGCATTTGGTTTCACTCCCTCATTACCACCCCCAACCCTAACCCACTCTCCTCTCCCTTCTCAGTGACCCCCTCATCCTTGTGCCCTTCTTAGTTATGCACTCCTGTCTGCCCAGCTTTCCCTCCATGTGAATGGTGCCCATCTGGTGCCCTGTGCTCCAAGGGGTATATCTCCATAGAGTAGATGAGTGCATCACCCTGGGTTGGGTATTCTGCATGTAAGTCTTACTGCTGTTGGGCTGAGAGCCAGCACTTGGGAGTGAGTTTTATCCCAGGCCCAAAGTGTATACCAGGCCATAGTCTTGGGGGGGTCCCACCAGACTACATCCAACCAGTAATTCTGGTCGTTACTGTGTTTTTGAATTTTATTCCATGTTTTTTCTCCCACTCTATCCAGGATCTCCAGTTTTGATCCCTTCCTGAATGTTTGGCATTGGTAGCCAGGCACCATCTAGTTCTTCTGGTCTTGAGGTCTGTCATATCCTAGGGCTGATTGTTTCCAAATGCCCTTGGTTTTCTTCACTCTTCTTTGCTTCAGACAAGAGACCATTAGCTGCATCTTAGATGGCTGCTCAAAAGCTTTTAAGACCTCAGTCACTACTCACTAAAGTAGTTGTAGAACAAGATTTTTACATATTATGTTGTGTCAATTGAGCCTGGTGTCCCCCAGAACTATGGTCCTGAGTCAGCAAATCCAGTGATTCTCTCTCCCAAGGTGTCTGGCTGTCTCTGAGGGATCACTCCAAATCTGTCTTCTGTTGCTTCTGTAATGATTGTGGTTATTTTGTATCACTAGCATCTGTATAAGATTATCCTCAGCTGAATCTATCATTGGTCTAGAGTATATTTCCTTTCACCGGCCCCCATCTGAACTTCTCAGTTGTCTATGCATTTATCTGTAGCCTAGTGTTTGGTGTTAGTGATAATGCAGTATTGTTTCTCTGTCATCTATATATTATGTGCACAATTTGGTATCTTCCCTTTCCCCAAAGTTTTGGTGTTGGTCATAGACTCTTTCCATACGATCCCTCACCTTACCCAACTCAGCATGTGGCCCCCAACTAGTCTGAATTTTTCCCCTCTCCTTCCTTCTCATCCCCAGTAACCTACAAAATGAGTTCCCTTCCCTAAGCAAACCCTTCCTTGCCTTTTCACAGTAATGGACTCATACAATATTTGTCCTTCTGCAGTTGACTTATTTCACTCAGCATAATATCCTCCAGATTCATTCATGTTGTGAGATGATTCACGTATTCTTCATTATTCTTTAATGTAGCATAAAATTCCATTGTGTGAATGTACCATAGTTTGGTTACACATGTCCGTGTTATAACTTTACAGTTGTAAAGTCTAGTCTTCTTTTCCTAGCACTGTCTCTCACGTAACATATTTTGTACTACATTCACTCATGGTCACAGACAAGGAACTCATATCACTAACATACATCTGTTGATGAGCGTTTAGGTTGTTTCCATCTCTTTGCTATAGTGAATTGTGCTACAATGACCATGGGTGTGCATATGTCTGTTCATGTCCTGTCTCTCACCTCTTCAGGATATATTCCTACTAATGGAATTGCTGGTTCAAATAGTATTTCTATTTTCAGTTTTTAAGGAAACACCATACCATTTTCCACAATGGTTGTACCATTTTTTCAGGCTCACCAGCAATGTATGTAAGTTCCAATCTCTCCGCAACCTTGCCAGCATTTGTTATTTTCTGTCTTGTTGAACTTTGCTATTATTGCTTGGGTGAGGTGATATGTCATTTTGTTTTGATTTGCATCTCTCTAATGGCTAATGATCATGAGCAATTCCTCATGTGTTTGTTGGCCGCCAGCATATTGTCTTTAGTGAAGTGTCTGTTCATGTCCTTGCCCATTTTTGAATTGGATTGCTTGTCTTTTTGGCATTGAGGTATTGACGTTTTCTATAAATTTTGGAGATAAGTCCTTTGTAAAATACGTCATAGGCAAATATTTACTCTCGATCTGTAGGTTCTCTTTTTACCCTTTTGGAGAAGTCTTTTGATGTGCATAAAAATTTAATTTTTTTAAAGGGCCCTGTCATCTAGCTTCTCTTCCACCTCCTGTGGGTTATGCTTGATAGTCTATTTATTCCATAAATTAGGGCCCCTAGATTTGCCCCTGTTTTATCTTTGACAGGCTTTATAGAGTTTTATATTTAAGTCTTTGATTCAGGTTGAGTTTGTTTTGTGTATGGAGTGAGGTATGGGTCTTGTTTCATTTTTCTGCAAAAGGATATCCAGTTTTGCCAGCATCATTTGTTAAAGAGGCTATCTCTTCCCCATTTAATGAGTTTTGGTCTTTGTCAAAGATCAGCTATCCATAGATGGATGGGTCTATTTCTGAGTTTTTGATTCTGTTCCATTGGTGTATCTCTCTATTGTTGTACGAATACCACACTGTTTTAACTACTGTGGTTGTATAGTGGATTTGAAGATCCAGAAGTGTGAGAACTCCCACTTTGTTTTTCTTCTTCAGCAGTTCTTTGCTTATCTGAGGTCTCTTTCCTTTTCATATGAAGTTAGTAATTGGTTTTTCCATATGCTTAAAAATTGTTGATGGTATCTGGATTGAGATTGCATTAAATATGTAGATTGCTTTGGGTAATACTGACATTTTCACAATATTTAGTCTTCCTATCCATGAACAGGGAGCTCTGGTAGCATAGTGGCTAAGACACTTGCCTGCTAACCAGACGGCTGGCGGTTCAAACCCACCAGCCACTCCTCGGAAGGAAGGTTGGGCAATCCTACTTCCGTAGTGATACTGCCTCGGAAACCCAAGGAGGGGTCGCTATGAGTCAGGTTTGACTCGACGGCACATAACAACAACAACAACATCCATGAACAAGGCAGGTTCTTCTATTTATGTAGATCCCGTATAGTTTCTTATAGTAGTGTTATATAGTTTTCTTTGTATAGGTCTTTTGTGTCACTGGTAAGCTTTATTCCTATATGTTTGATCTTTTGGGTAGGTATTGTAAATGGTATTGTTTTCCTTTTTTTTTTCAGAGGCCTCTTTGCTGATGTAGAGGAATCCAACTGATTCCTCTGTTGATCTTATATCCTGCCACTTTGCTGAACCTCTCTATTTGTTCCAGTCATTTTTTTGCTAAGTCTCTTGGGTTTTCTATGTGTAGGATCTTGTCATACACAAACAGAGATAGCTTTACTTCCTCTCTGCCAATTTGTATGCTTTTATTTCTCTTTCTTGCCTTATTACCCTGGCTAGGACTTCCAGTACAGTGTTAAATAGGAGTAGTAATAGAAGGCATCCTTGTCTGGTTCGCATTCATAAGGGGAATGGTTTGAGTCTTTCTCCATTAATAATAATGTTGGCCATTGGCTTTGCATACATGCCCTTTATTAGGTTGAGGAATTTCCCTTCTATCCCTATTTTGCTGAGAGTTCTGAACAGGAACAGATTTTGGATTTTTTCAAATGCCTTTTCTGTGTTGATTGATATAATCATATGGTTCTTTTGTTTTGTTGATGTGGTGGATTACATTGATTATTTTTCTGATGTTGAACCATCCTTGCATACCACTTGGTCAGGATGTATTTTTTTTTTTTTTTTGATATGTCACTGGATTCTGTTGGCAAGGATTTTGTTGAAGATTTTTACATCTGTATTCATGAGGGATTTTGGTCTATAGTTTTCCTTTTTAGT